TAGAATATGAAACCTATAACAAGAATTCCTTAGGACCTACATCAACAAAAACCAACCAACTCAATTATATTAATAAGAAAAAATAAATAAGGAACTTTCTAAAAGATAAGTCCAATAGGAGGTGTTATAAATTGTTATAACTAACTATAACTTTTCTTCATTTTTGTGTAAGATTTGGATCCCAAACTGATGATTTTGATGTTGGCTTCCTGAATTTTACTTGAGAAATTAGAAACCAAACCCACCTAAAGAAAAAGAGGGAAAAGAAAAGAGAATGGAAGGTATCTTGTCCAATGCACTCATTTTGATTGTACAAAAAATTGTTTCTTTCCCTTCCACGTCATATCTCTCACATAAATACATTGATAATATTATACTTCTCAACTTTTATCAATTAACCTATTAAAATTTTTTATGCTGTGATAAGGTGGTCATACCTTTTTGAAGAAGAGGTTTTAACTTTTAAGATATAAAATCTTAAATTCTATACTCAAATATTACTAATTTTCCACCCAAAATTTTTCTAAGTTCAAAAAAAAATATTATAAATAGTGATTTTATGTTTTTTTAACGAAATTTATGTTTTATAAATTAAATTGTAAATTAAAATTAAAAATAAACTTAAGTATTAAAATTATTAAATCATTATTAATAAAATAATATAAAAAATAATATTATTAAAAATATTTTAATAAATTTATAAAATAAATTACACTTTTAATATATAATATAAACTGTAAAACACTTTCATTTTTTATACAATTGAAAATGATTCTAAATACTTACATACACTTACAGATGTTTACATATGCATATGTAAATCTTAACTGAATTATAAGGTTAATATATTATCAAATGCAAGAATTTGTTTTGGGTTTGTTTTTATTCGTCTTATCTCATAAAAATTATAAAAAATATTATTTTAAAATTATATTATTTTAATAAATATTTATTAAAAATAATTAAAATATTTTATTTTTAAAGCATAAATTAAAATATTTTGTATCTTTTTTTTCCTTAATTTTTTAAGAATAATACGAACAAACAGTAAGCCCATTAGAAATTCTATTTCGAGAAATCACTAGTAATATCGGTAATTAACGAAAGTTTCTCTTCACCGCCCCTTTTTTTTTTTTTGTTGGTTTTTTTACCCATTTCGTTAAAAGCCGGCGTTAAATAGAACCGCAGGGAAAATCATAAACTCCGCAGATAAATCAACGCGAGGGGATAATTGCAGTCGGAGTTGGTCCGACGGTTGTCCGACACTGAGACAGATACCTACGATCCCAACAGTGTCGTGACAAAAGCATCCTTAGGCGGTCGCCCCGACATCGGTCCCTCAAAGCTTGCTCATAATCTTTTCCGATCGATAGAATTCCTCTGCAATTCGGAATCGCAATGGCGAATGATATCAGATTCTTCGAATTGAATACAGGAGCTAAGATGCCTTCTGTTGCGTTAGGTACTTACGGTGCCAAACATCGTATAATCGAAAACGCCATTGCAACTTCCATTAAGGTAAATTGGGAATGGATTCTGATTTAAAGGTATTGTTTTATTTTAATTAATACATATCAGAAATATAAAAATAACTTTCCCTGATCGTCTTTCCCTGTTTTAGAAATTTTTAATTTGATTGTTTCTTTAGCTCTTATATTTCGGGTGTTTTCTTCAATGGGTGTCTTTGTTGCTCCAGGTTGGGTATCGCCATTTCGATTGTGCTTCAATGTATGGCAATGAGAAGGAGGTGATTATTTCAATTCTGTTAATTTTACTGTGTCAATAATTTTTATCAGCCTTTAATTGCTTCAATTTTGGGTGAAGAAATATATATGGAAAACCCTGAAATTTGTTTGATAGATTGAAATTAATTTCATTCATAACCAATTGACTTTGAATTCCTTAGGATAGGATCTTCTGTATATTTTATATGGGTAATGGGATGGCTAACAACTTTTTTTTTTTTTTTTCTACTTTTTTATACAATTTTCATGTGTTATTAAATGAATGAATGCATAAAATATTCTAATTGAGTGAAAGAGCCGATCATTAAATGAGACTTAAGGTTGTACCGAAAAAATTGTATAAGAAAATTATCTCTAAATCATTTTTCATTTTATATAATACATATCACGGGTGGACCTTCAATTAGAAGAATCATGCTTCATAACTATATATTTTTTATGATGAGAATAACCATATCATTTTTGGTTCTTCTATGTCCTGTTATTAACTTGAGGGTCATGTTGGCTTGGAGGAATGAAAATTGGCCAAATTGGAGAAACTAAATGAGTTGGGAATAAAGAAGGCTTAAAATTTTTCACTTATATTTTATACTAAAAAGTTAGGGATGAATACAAACTATGTATTACCATCTCCCCTAACGATGTTTCTATCTTGCTTCTTTCCTAACTAAAAACAAAACTATCATCAATGTTAAAATTTATTTATTCCTAACTTTCTCATTTTTTCCTAAGAACTTTATAAATGAATTCTGTTTTGAAGGTTACAAAAACATTTTCTCCCTTCTGATAGAATATATTTTTTCTGGTTAATGCAGATTGGTTCTGCTCTAAAGAAGTTGTTTAGTGATGGTGTAGTGAAGCGAGAGGATATATGGATCACATCAAAGCTCTGGTTTTGTCTCTCTTAATTTTCTCTTCATGTTACTTCTGTATAGGGGTCTTTTTTGAAGTTTGAAATTTCGGTTTTTATATTTGTTTTTTTTTTTTTTTGTCCGATTGTTTATATTTGGGGTAAGTCAAACAGATTACTGACCAGTTTTCTTGCTGCCCCACTACTCTGAGCCTCTTCTTTACTCCATAAATTAATATGCAATGAGCAGGTGTGCCGATCACTTGCCAAATGAAGTGCCAAAGGCACTAAATAGGACCTTGCAAGACTTGCAACTTGACTATGTCGATCTCTATCTGGTATGTATAGGAGAACTCTTTATTTAACCTTCTGCCTTCAGAAATTGCATTTTATACATGAGTTTTAATGATCATGATGTTCCTTTAGAGGTCTAGATAAGCTTATTTTTTCACATACTTCAAAGTGGTTTACATGAAATGGCTCTTTTTGTTGCTACATGTGATAAAATTTGAAGATACACTGGCCAGCCAGCTTGAAAAAGGGATCAATTGCTGTTAAGCCTGAAAACCTCACCCAACCTGACATACACAGTACATGGAGAGCAATGGAGGCACTCTATGATTCTGGAAAGGCTAGGAATATTGGAGTGAGTAATTTCTCCACGAAGAAGCTAGCAGATCTGTTGGAAGTGGCACGTATACCTCCTGCTGTTAACCAAGTGGAGTGTCACCCTGTATGGCAGCAGCCTGTGCTGCATTCATTTTGTCAATCCAAGGGAATTCACCTGTCGGTGAGTTTGCAGATATAAAGCAGTATATCCAGCCAAAACTCCATCTCCATCATTTCATGATACTAATAATGCTCTTGCTTGTTAATTCTCTTTTCTCAGGGATATTCACCATTGGGTTCCCAAGTTGGAGAAGATGTCAGGAGAAAGGTCTTGGACAATCATGTTGTGAGTATGGTTGCAAAGAACTTGGGCAAAACTCCTGCCCAGGTGGCTCTTCGTTGGGGACTGCAAACGGGTCACAGTGTACTACCCAAGAGCATAAGTGAGGCAAGAATGAAGGAGAACCTCGATGTTTTTGATTGGTCTATTCCTGAAGATTTGATTGCCAAGTTTTCTGAAATTCCACAGGCAAGCAGCATTTGCCTATTGCTTTCCTCGTTTCTCACTATTTCTGTCTCCTACACACTAGCATATCCACAGATGCATGTTCAATTTTATGATTGCTTATAACTTCTCTATTTTTGGAACTCAGCATTATCTATGAACTGAACATTCCATTGTATTCGTTAATATTTTAAAATGATGCAGGAGAAGCTAATTAAAGGTACCGAATTTGTTCACGAGGCTTCTGGACCGTACAGGACTCTGGAACAGCTGTGGGATGGTGAAGTTTGAGGTGATATCTGGAATATCCGGATCAGCCTGCACATAAGGAGTATAGACTATTAAACTGTCTCTAAACTCAAAATAACAGCATGCCAACTGTAATGGGAGCCCTTTCCCGTTTCACTTCATTGTGTTATTAACGACAACAGGAGAATTCTGTAGATACTCCATGAAGAGACTGTATGTTACCAAGTCTCATATTTCATATTTTCAATTACATGATGTAACAAAGATTCTCAGAGAGAATTACGAGAAATATGTCAAAAAATTTGATTTTCTTGTGTGGTATATCGAAAAATTTGTTAGGTAGAAAGTCATTAAGCCAATTGGGTAACGACACTCTCATAAATGAAAGGAAAATGAATGAAGTCTTTTGTGTGTGTGTGGGTGTGTGT